AATAGGATTGTCAAACCAATATATCTGTCTATCTATGACATGATGTATAATGAATCGTTAAAATTTGAACATAATCAGTGAAAGCAAGTCAGAGATATGGCACGAGAACCACATTCATTGAAACAAAATGGCCGCCAGTTAGTCATTTTGAATCTTATCTGAAAAACAAAATTATTTGCATCAAGGTCCCATAATGTCTAATGTATATATCGAGTTTGAACAAAATTCATTTGTAAACAGCCGAGAAATGCTTGATTTTTAGGATTTTTCAGCACAAAAATGGCCGCCATTCGGCCATCTTGAATCAGATCATAAAACAAAATCCATCTGTAAACACCCGAGAAATGCTTGATTTTGATGATTTTTAGCACAAAAATGGCCGCCATTCGGCCATCTTGAATCAGAACGTGAAACAAATTGACGTGCATATGTATAATATCATATATGATGTATGTGTGAAGTTTGATTGTGATTGGTCCAGACATTTCTAAGATACAGGTCCGGATGCATGCACAGACGCACGCATGCACGGAGGTCAAAACATAAGTCCCCGATTTCGGACTGCGTCCGAACGGAGACTAATAATAACCCTCCATTGAGTATCTAATCTCTTAATCTATACAAACAATAAAATTGAAAAATTGAGTTGTTATTTCACATACAGATTATTTTAATAATTAAACAAAGGTTGTAGTGAATATGAATAATAATAATTTAAACATAATTGTGAATTGAATTTCCAACATTTTATAATAAATATATAAGTTTGGGAAAAAACGACAACAATAACAATCTCCAAACTAATCTACCAATAATGCTGTCAGGCATATATATTTGAATCATCTGTAAATCAACTAACACTTAGTATAGAACTATCAATAGATACATGATGTATATTTTACTGTTAACAGCCAAGAACATAATATACAAGTCAAGACATTGAAAATTAGTAGTTGTCATTTCCTACCACTAGAGGGCAGCCTTACCTTATGTATTTGTGTGTATGGTTTGTATACCCTGATGGTATTATTAAACAATGTCAGCAGATCCTCTATCATTTCTTCAACAGAGTAATATTGATCTTTCTGCATTCTACCAACAATACCACTGAAATCAAGTGGTCTGCCCACAATCTTGTAATAGTCAGGATTCTCCTGTAGATAGAAACACATTATATTCTCAGAATTAACAAAGTGTCGGTATTTGTATGCTCAGACATTTCACGCTAGAGAAAAGAAACCTTGGAATATAATCAACGGTACACTACAGTTTTCAAAAACGTATTTACTTTCACACTAGACATATAGGTTAAACTTGACTATTTTTAAACAAAATGACTTCTTGAGTCAATTAATCCACTTTTGTTGCTGAACAGGATTATTATGACTCCCCGTGACATGGTTTCCCAAATTCACAAACTTTTACAAAGAGACCAGAATTTTGTCACCGGTCTAAAAATGTGACCATAACACTCCTATACGGATTGCACTGGCTTCCTGCTGTTTATAGAATCCAATTTAAAATCCTGATGATCACATACATATCACTGCATAAATTAAACTCTTCTATCTATATATATAGGACAACTCTCTGATACAGCAACAAACACAGAGGAAAGAAAATTCCAGGGCTCATGTTGATAAGTCAGTGCAGAGGAAATCCTCATTCAAGTTTCACCTAAATCATTGTCAACATTTTCTATTTCCATGTTGTTGGAAATAATCAATCAGAACAATATTAGAAAACCACATTCTGGGTGATGAAAAAAACCCGGCCTCTCAACACACAATACTGTCAGAAAAATAAACTTCTCCTGTCATCCGCAAATCATAAATAAAATAATGTAACTATTATGACCATGCCCCTTGAGAATCTAGCTATTAATAACAAACAAGAATTCAATTCAAGAAGGCTGCCTGGTATAATCTTTTCTATACAGGGCAAGAGTTGAATAAAAGTTTGGAAACAATAAAATATTATATCTAAACAAAATTTTTACACTGAAAATACTGGTTTAGGTTGCAAAAAAATTAAGTCATCATAATAATCTAAAAACGTATTTAATATTAGTTTTTGTAAAAATTTATCCCCCTACAAAAAATTTACCAAGTAATTATTTGGTAAATTTTCATAACTTATTGATGGCTACTAAAATTCTGATTGATAAAAGAATAATGTTTTATTTGGTTCTCCAAAATTTCATCTTAGATTTTTTCCCCTCATTTTTTGGAGAGTCTTAGGAATGGTAGAAAAAAAAACATTACTCGCAATGAATCAGCTAAACCATACAAAGTTATATTTAGCGACAAATGTATAAACAAAATGATATAAAAATGTAGTATACAAATTATGTAATGTAAATACTGGTATTATTAATGACTAAAGATGAACAGTAATTACATTAAAAAAATAATTAATATTCATGTTCATCCATTAAGTTGAAAATTGATCTGTGATGAAGTTACCAAGCATACTACTATAACAACCTATTTATGTTTTTGATGTACTGCAGACATACTATTGACAACAAATTCTTTCAAAACCTTTCAAAGCCTGGAAACATGATTTTTTTCCCTCCAGAACTCTTGTACATTCTAGACTGCGTACAAATCCTGTTACTGCTAGAGCCAAAACTAGAATTAAACCATATATTGAATCCAGATTCAAAACCTTACTTTTTAATGTTCATTTTGTGAACTATCAATATCACTGATGGATAATAGGCATACCTGTATATAAAATGTATATTACCATAATTATGCTCTAAGCTGGCAAGTAGGTTGCATTCAGTCAGCAGCAAAGAATCAAGATTAGGCACGACATTAAAATATTGGTGATTAATATCTACTATTTAGTGCAAATATCATACATTTAATTGGCGACCAAACAAACTTATCATTGTCAAAAAATAAAGCCTCACGAGATCTTTCAACCTAACCCTAGTATTAGTGTATACATGTAGTACATCTATAAGATGAGACTTGTTTTATCAGATATTGAAACTAAAAGAGGTGCCTTCACAGGATTACAGGGTATGCTGAAACCATAAGGTTGGTGGTTTTAAATATAATTTTTTAATTAAAATGACAAAAATATTAAGTAAAATTAGAGAAATGAAGTTGCCATTTTGAAATGAACAAAATACATAGTGAGCATTTTAAAATGAAAGAAATCTGAATGAGGTCACCCCAAAAGGACCTAACATGACAAGTATGGAAGTAATTTGAAGAGTAGATTACAAGAAGAAGTGTTATTTCTAAAAAGTTGACACTGGAGCCAATACAATCAATCATCTCAATAAGTTCTGCTTCAGTAACCAGAAACTTAGATTAGATCTGATCAGCATAGATCTTGGTCATTGCAAAAGTTGTTTTTTATTGTTCGGTAATCTTTTAATTTAATTTAAGAAATTTAGTTCAAGACAATGTGGCTTATTTTATGTGCTCTCAACTTATTAATCAGAAGCCAACATGGCAATGTTGTTAGTACGTGTATGTGTTATTCCCAGTTACGCCAAGGATAATGTCAATGTTCCCATTACAATAGTTTGGATGACATATGTTGGTAATATTCTACACAACACAACTGTACACTAAATGAACAGGGTGTTCTCATCCATATTAATTATGCAAGTTAATATTACTAGCAATGTGTAACAATCAATCATAGAGGATGAAAGAAAATGTCAAAAACAAAAATTGAAACAGAATTATGGTGTTCACAGTTCAACAATCAAATTGCTTTAATACACCATCATTTATGCATAGTTTACGAACAGTCTGTCAGCCAGCTGATATAGCATTGTAGTATATGATTGAATTATAGAACACATACGGCACATACCTGCATAAATTCAATGCTACATTATCAAACTAAATGATAAAATGAAAAACATTTCATACAAAATGACAATAATGTTTTAGACAATGGTGCTAAGATAATCAAGAATCAATAAAAAAAAAAATACCACATGAACAATGTACAACGATTTTCACTCCAGAAATATACATCAGGCAGATTGTTGATAGTACATTTGATCAAAATATATGCTAAATAGACAGTTTGGGATTGTAAATGAAAATAAAAGAAATGTAATGGAACAGACAATAATTAACATATAATTTTACAGTTTCATCTTGAATTACAAGTTAAAAAACAATTTTGTTGAGAAATAAATAGCAGTCTGTGTCAGAGGTCAGCCATATGTTGAGTCGAGAATTTATCAATGACCCTCGTGCGTTAATTGTTGTCAGTATTCATCTATTCATGAAAAACGTATCAAGAAAATAGTTACCAAATTGATATTTCCAAATTCCATGTAGCCTAGCTTGGAAAGAATTCTTTATTAATTGTCTAATAAATTGCTGTTGTTGTGGGGGCAGGGGGTCAGTTCCGAAATCATGCAGTTATACAGACTGCCACTAACATGCTCAGTTGATAACAGTAATCAAAACAAGTTCAATCAAGTTTAAGAGTGTATATAATAATTAATAGAGAGATCACATTAAAGACTGTTCAGCTACAAGATAACTTATTTATTGACCATTGCTTTCCAGTTATCTCTAGAGCATCAATTATCCAAACTATAGTGGGACACAAGGGTAAAGTTCAAATTATATAATGTCATAACAACCTAGGACAGTCCAGATTTATTACACTCAAATTCAATCATGCAAGCTTTCCAATAACAGGACTCTTCATACCTACGTGTTAGTTATTAAATAAGGTTTGGCTGTGATAAAAGAACGCCCCACTCACACAACACAAAAATGTTACCATACATTTTTCCATAATTTCTTTTGTTAATTATGGACAAAATTTATGCAACTGCCTACAGGAAAAAATTATGTGGGTTTTGCAAATGATGATAAAAATTGATATTGTTAAACTGAAATAAAATGATGATTCATAATAGTTCATCAACTTTGAATCACACATTATTTGTAGTATTTAAAAACCATTAATCAACATAAATAAAACCAATGGAGCACAGTATCCGGACAATGGTAGTTAGGTTTAATTTGACATTCTGGTAAAGAACATAATACATATTTACCTTCTGTAAAGGAACCTTTTGGAGCGACTCAGACAATACTCTACCATTATCATCTTTGTAGCCTTGTATCCGGTTGAAAAGGTGTAGAAGTTTCCACTTTTCTTCTGGTGGCGTGACCCCCTGTTGTCGAGGCATTATGTAACATGTGCATTCACCCTGTTCCCTGTAATACTACAAAAAGATAGAACTCCATCAATGACATGAATTCAAATATTTAAAGGCCACATAAACATTTCTGGTTAAACCAACCAATTAACCAACTACCGGTAATAAATGATTTATCATATAGATCACCGGTGGAGGGAGGGGGGGGGGGGTCTACTCCAAATCAAAATTAGTATATCATAAAACAAAGAAGGGCTACAACAATACACCATCTATGTACATTATATAAGCAGAGTGTGACAGTCATCTGTTACACACATTAACATGGTGATAAATGATGTGGTAGATGAAAAAAACATCTATCAAGATGCAGAAGTAATCAATCAATAAATGCTGTAACCAGCAGGTACATGAATACTCATTCACACCATGATTCACTTTTTAGCCACAATACCGACACGTTTTATTTTCTCCCTATACATAATACGTAGTAGTAGTCCATATTTTGTAAATATAGCACATGATACTCAATCTTCAGTTTTTAGTTTCCATCACTCCACATTTGAGTTCAACATTTTTTTTTAATCACACAGGAAATGATGGAAGATGTTGACACGTTTCAAAATAAATTCAATGTGCTGATTGTCATTAAATCATCCAATACAGAGACAAGATAAATAACAATCATGATGCCTGTGATCAAACATTGTCACAAATTATACATAACCAAACGCAGAATGGATGATCAGCCGCTAGACAAACTACCATCCTCTAAGGAATGGTAATATTTGCTTTTATATCAGTATTCCTGACAACCAATTTATCCAATTTCAGGTGTCTCCGATTTGAAAGCCTTATTCATAGAAAGATGCCATTTAATTCAGTGAGGCAGTCATCAATGAGCATGTTGTGAGGCACCATGCATAATGGCTATGTCAATAAAACGCACATATCATGTATGCTAGAAATGTTGACATTAATCGAATAGAACCATATTAGAAGATCCCACAAGGTTTACATTAACAACTGTCAATCAAACAAGCACACTTCAAACAGCAGTACAAATATACATACATGTAGTTACAGACCTTGCATGCAAGATTTGAGAAACATTATTTACTGTACTGATAGATTCTAAATCTAAATAAAGGCAATAATTATTCATGTTATAAACATGGATGTTTATATTAAAACTCTATTTAATAAACTTGGCAATTGACATGCACTTTTCTACAGAGTACAAGAATCCAAATGAAGTAACACAAAATTTTCACGGGGGAACAAAACTATGGTGTTCAGTCATCCTAGGAATTCACACGTGGTTGTATTGATATAAAGTGCATTTACTATGGCAAGACTAGAAAATACTACGGTAATAATGTATCTATTGGTAGGGGCCAACTATACACCCAAGACCATCTGTTGACCTGACCTGACCTTACAATTACACATACATTAAATTACTTGAAAAATTGAACTGGAAACTACATGTAAGAAGATGCATTAACTACAGGACAAAAATTTACATGTGAATCAGAACCCATATTATGTGTTCATCTACATCCAATGAACAAGACCAGTGAAACAGATTGTGATTGTTCAAACATATGTGTACATACATGTAAGAGTAAGAACACAAAACCTATTATTGTTTGTAATGGGTAAGGTCAGTGAAAAAAAATATCATACCTGGAAAGTTGTACAGGAAAAGCACAACTCAAATTACATATAATAAGAGGGAAAATGCATTAAAAATAAGTGTTTACGAGGACAGGCCTCCTCTTGCAGCTTGCCTGCAAGGCCTTTAGCTTGTACATACTAATCAAGTTGGAAACCCTATACTGCAGTGATATCAAGGCACTGATGTGTCAGTTCAGTATGTACATAAGACACCAATCAATAAATGATTTAGATATGAATATCTTTTACCTATATAAAGTGATCTGGACCAACAGCTGATATCAATCGATAGTATATGATGTACAGAGAACCAACATAAATATTGAAAACCCAGTCACATACATATTTAATTTAGTCACAGCCCACCCCCACATGCCATACACAATATTTATATCGCTCATATGGAAAACATCATTACAAAATAATGATTAACACCAACATATGTTATTTCTTTTAAAGCAAATACTGATATGCAAAAATAATATAAAGCTTTGATGATGGTTAATTAAATCCACTAGACAGCGCCATACAACCTTATGGGGCCGTGTAGTCATTATTTGTCAATGGTCATATGACTCATATCCTTGTTATTTTATATACGTTGATATCATTCAGTAACATAAAAACGTTAATGTAGTATCAACTTGTGTGTTGCTATGACACTACACAATAAACATTTATCACGACAGGCACTTTACACAGATTGGTTTGCAATAAAGTAATAAAGGTTCTCTTCTGAAATGATGGGCTTGGTTTAATAAACCTATGCCAATTAATGGCTTACGAAACGAGTAACCATGGTTACACCCATTGTGGAATGCAATCCACATTTGCATATATCACTCAGTTGATGAATTATTTTAATGAATTGAAATTCCATGACCTTTATTTGCCAGAATTGTAAGTAAAAAAATATTTGATAATTATTATTAAAAATTCCACTCTATCAGATATCTTTTAAATGAGACTTTGTCTTGACATTTCCTATAAGTGGTTTTAATATTTGTCAGGAGTTGAAATAAAGACAAATTATGAGATAGTAATTTATTGCTTCCTAGATGTGCGTCACTACCAATTAAAATAATTAACTGAATTGTCTGTTGTAAATTAATAATGCAGATTATAATGAACAACTTTCATCTTCAATCATCCACCTCAGTGACCACAAATAAATATTTGGGTAAAGCTTGTTAGACAAATACATTTCTGAACATGATCAGATTATAGAGACAGTTCCCAGAAGCAAACTTATAAATAACATGCAGTTTTCAAACTACTCAATCTGGAACCATTTTAGCTATTCTAAATCTCACCTTAGTTGAATGATACGAGATAGATGTACTGATCTATTATATACATAAAAGTTGTAATCATTTACATACATATAAAAGTTACCTAATGGGTTGAGTCAGTGAAACCATGCATATCGCCTCCTGAGTGTCTGAAAAACATCAGTTATTATGCTATGGATAATCTCAACACAAGTACATTAGACAATCCTACGTTGTGCATATTAAATAAACCATTGCGAGTAACCCTCCACATCCGTATTTACATCTGTTAGTTCATGCTAGGTGTAATGAATATTACCATAAAGTAACACAATTAAACATGGCAGGTACAGGGTGCTTTAGGAGCCAATAGAAAGACACTTAAGGAGTTATCTGATGACGTACATACATATTCAGACAGTTGCAATTCTTGATGCCATCAAGGGTCTGCAGCATTTCTAGATAATATCCAGTGACTTTATTTATGTTTTACCATACTAAATACAGCTTAGAGTGCAGTACTGTGCATTAGCTGTATTGCAGATGTCAAATTGCAAAGCTAATCGTTGATTGTTCCCACAATAGTGTAACTGATCCATGCGCTTTGACAACAGTAATACAGTTAGAGTGGATGAGACGAATTTCACATGCAGTTATATAACCACAACCATTGTAACTATAAAAACAGCTTTGATAAGCTTTCAATTGCAGTTGCAATTAATGTACTAATTTGACCTACGACTATTCTGATAAAGAATTTTTCTCCCACGTTTTATATTACTAAGTTAGCATCTGCCAATCATTGTTTACATAGCATTACAAAAACCTCATGCATTTAAACATGTGACCTTGGTAGATTTGCACCAAATGCAATTATATCCCTGATTACAATGCAAGATATTACAACCCTCTCATGGTTTAACCAATCATGCATGCACACGTTGTATATATTACAAGTATCTATGATTAATATTAAAATGTCATGTCCATTAATTTGTTTGGCAAAATGCCATACACTCCTGTATCATTTACTTTTGCTCTTAAGCATAAATGCAAATGTAGTATTTATCTAGAATGGGGAAAACATTAGACTTTTGCTAGGTTCTACAATATAATGAGAAAAATATAAAATATCAAGTATCACAGAATACAACAAATATTTTTCAGAGCATTTGGTATATACACAGGTCTAATTCTAGATAATGCCATTTTGGGTAAACCACTGCAACATCAATTATGTATGACAAAGGTGTGACAATTCTCATGTCAATGAAAAACAGGAAGAAATCTATCAACTTACGACTTTTATAAAGTAATTGAAAAAAATCCTGTCACTTAAAAAATCAAGTATGACGACGAATCATCCACTGTGTGGCCCGTAATTTCTGTGTTGTTAACGATCAGCATGCTATAATGACTGCTGTGTAAAGCAGTAAAATAATGATGGTGCAACAAACTCAAGACCTGCGCATAAATCAATGGTTATAATTACAAATACTGTATACCTGCATGTTTTAATACATAATGTATTGAAAACACAGAGGGGCTTTAGTAAATACAAGTAGACAAAGTCCATTTAGTATAAAATGTATGCCAAATCAAGCTATCATTAATAATTTACCACCTCTTCTAAATAAGACACATGCATGGTTTCTTTGTCTCCCATCTTTTTGATACCTTATTACACCATAGTATAGGGTTGTAAAAGATGGGTGTGGTTTCTCAATTTCTACATGTATCAGGTCACCAGTTGTTTTTCTCATCAACTAAGCCATTAGTCACCCAGTCTGAAAAGTTTCCTGATTAGGCAACCATTCTAATAATATTACTTCACCAAAATAGATTTTGCAGAAACAAAGCAGACATGTCACAATAACTAATGAATGACTTGATTGTGAAGTCAAAAAATTCCCTTAAAGAATGTGAATACAGAGAGGCCTTCTGGGGATGCGCCACACATCATTTATGGAAGAATGGTATATGGAGTTTTCAATAGAATGTTATCACACAAATATTTATTCATAAGATGATGTAAAATACCACCACTGGAATTCTCCCACCGTCGGACTTAACACAAATATTTTTAAATATTCCATATATAATTTTTTAAATTTC